GGTAGGACTGTGCAATGCAGCCCGTGCAGCACCATGCTCGGAGGTGCTGGAACTGAGCAAAGCTGGTTTGAATCAGTTCTGGGAAGAAAAGGGGAGTTTGGATTTTGCGGATCGTAGCAAAAGAATGGACATTATGAGTCTGTTGCTTCATGGTTGTGGTAATGGCAGGTGCTGGAAGTGCTGCAGACTGTTCTTTGCTCCCAGAATCCTTCATAGATTTTATCTAGGAACTATTTTATGGAAAACTCAGGAGCAACCTGGTATTCAGGACATAACACCTTTCTCAAATATCACTTTCCTGCTTTTGTCATGGAAATATTAATGCAATGCCTGGTCTTAGGAAGGGGGGCTGTACTCTGGGTTTTAAGTGGATGGAGTTACCGACCAGCAGTCCAGGCTCGGGTGACTAAGCTCTACAAAAGAAAGGGATTTCGGCTATAGCCAGGGCTTATGGTTGGCTTGAATTCCTGGAGGCAGTTAGCAGCACGCAGGGTTTCTGCGTTACGTTGCTGTGCACCGTGTAGAAATCCCCGTGCCTGGCTGGGCCCTGGGGCTAGCTGCCTGTCGGCTGGCGTGCAGAACCCACCTGTAAATGCCTAAATCTGTAAAGAATCCAGCTTTTACCTCTTTTTTTTTGCTAAACAGGGGGCTTATTTCCAGAGGTTGATAAATACAACTCCAGCCCTGCGTTTTCCCAAGTCTCCAAAGCACCAGTTAGGAAGCAGCTGGAATGTGGAAGCCACAAAGGACACAGGACCCTGGAGGAGATGCTCAGCTGAGCATCTGGCTAAGGGCAGCAAGATACCTGGATTTTTTTCCCTAGCCTACCATTTCTTCCCCATTTGAGTGTAATGGGGCCCATCTGCCATATATCACATGTTATTTGAAGTTCGACTCCTCTGCTGAACTTTGTCTGAGGTCACCCATAGCGAGAGCGGAAGGTGATGAATCCGATCACAGATTCCCATGTCTCTTTCCCAGTGCTATATCTACCGTAACGGAGTTATGGGCCCAGGTATGTGACAAAGATCATTATATTTTTGTCACATTTTTATGGTACGGTAGTCAAAACTAATAAAAAGACCAACAAATGTAAGATAACAACATGCTGCATTATTTCAATCCAGCAATTGAATTCTATCAATCAAGCTACCCTTTTCTGTCAGAGGAGCAAACTGTAGAGCTTTATACCATGCATACAACATCAACAATAAGAACCACAAAAAAAAAATCCTTGGGGTAAATTAAATTAAAGAGTCTAATCTGTAAAAGAATTGTACTTCAAAAACTGGGAAAATGCACTAGGAAAGAAAAACAAGGCTTACAGCATATGCTTGATAGGAATAGTCTAGACACCCATTTATGAATATTGAATCATAAAAAGCTCAGTGAATAACACAGTGATGTGATCAAGTAAATGCATGCAACACAAAGCTGCCAAAAAGAATCTGAATAGTTAAGAGATATAAGAATACGTATGGAGTACAATTAGAAGGCTAGTTCAGTAACAAACTCCCCTAAGTTTTCCTTTGGGTATATTTCAGAGAACAGGAAAAAAGAATTAATCTTAGTTCCATAATGAAAAACGGTATTTGAGCAAAAGACAGTAAGTTACTTTAGGAATATAGTAGTGAAAAGAACCTCCTGGGCCATGAGCAGAGTTTCTGGTTTCTCAAGGGCCTTTCTATATATTGTCTTTCATGAATCTATCATGATCCATGTTGAAAACATTTATTTATTTTCTGTCCCTGCTGGTTCCATTCAAAGAGCAGTTCCAGAACCTGATTACAGTGGTAGCTTAGAACCTGCTTCTCATTTTCAGCCAAAATTTATTAATGGGTAATTTATGCCCATTTGTACTTTTGCCAGCAGCCCTTTAGCTTAAATAGTCTCTATTTCCCCGCTGTTGATCCTCTGATATATCTATAGACAGCAGTCATAATTCGTCTTAGCTTTCCTTCTGCAGCACTAATGAACTCAAAACCTCCCCGTCTCCCCCCGGATCACAGCTCGTTCCCCACGTATTGAAGCCGTTCTCGGCCCTGTTTGAATCCGAGTTTTCCCTTCAGGTACCACCGGGGCGAGCACAGCCATAAAGAGCTTTGCTCAAGAAGAACAGGGCTCGGCAGCCTCTGGGGCTTTGACATTAATGCTTCCTCTGTGCAGAAATCTCCTCGTGATGTTCCCAGCGCCGCGTTTCCTTTTCCCGCGCCCTCCCGGAGCTCGCAGCCCCTCTCTGATCCGCGCTTTGCCGAGGATCCCTTGTTGCTGCAAGCTGCTGATCCCAAACTTGCAGCGGGAGCTTTGTTGTCATTCCCCAAGCATGTTGTCTCGCCCTTCGAACTATGGAGCTTCACCTCGTTCCTCTCACTTAGGCCCCCTCGGTATCGTTGGTGCTTATCGACGTCGTGTGATCAGCAGTTCTTAATTTACCCAGCGCTGGGGGATCGCCTGCCCTCTCTGGCATACAAAAAGAGCAGCCGAGGTCTTATTTATTACACATGTGCCCATATCTGCTTTCATACTGAGTTAATTGCGATGATAAACCAGCTGGGATGGGTTTTTCTCATTCCTTTTCGCCAGATTGATGAGGGAAGGGAGAGACTTTTGCAGCGCTTTGTACGAGTTCTGTGATGTAATTGAAGACAAGGATTTTATTTGTACATAAAATACCCACAGACAGCCAAGGAAGGTTTATAAGGAGGCCGGCCTCAAGTCTGAAGGGCTCCTCTTGTCTTGCTTTTCATTTGAAAAATATATTGGTTGTTATCCACAGCTTGCTAGAGGAAACTGAGTAATCAAATATGAATAAACACATTTAAAATGTGCCACTGAGATACTGCCAAGGTTGCCAATTGTGCTTTAGAAATAAGTGACTTCTGAAAGCCTTGCATTTACCTGTGTCATAATAAGAAGTAAGTTAAAGAATAGCATTTTGACATTAGAATACTGTTTGAATGGCATAATGTTCTGAAGAGGATGATGTTTAAGGGAAGCAGACCTGTTTAATAAATTCATTTTTCCTTTAAAGGTTTTGCGGTGAAGATTTCTGAGAAGTATTGGAAATGTTTTGCATTTTGAAGGGCTGAAGTATGACAGAAACGCAAAACGTTGGAATTTCTTTTTACCCTTTTTGTTTCTTTTCTAAACTTTGAGTGAAATAGAATCAAAATATCCCATTTGTTATTTTTCCTTTAGTCATTGTTTTAGCATTTCAACCTTATTTGTTACATTATCTTTTTTTTTTTTTTTTT